CTTACAAGGCACCCCATAACCCGCCAGTCAACCCCTGGTCAAAGTCAAACTTCTTAGTCAAGGTCAACAGTCCATGTTGACCTTAACTCACCGAGTACCCTTAGGCACTCGCCTAGTTCTCTGAAGTACAATCCAACTCGCCGAGTCATCGAGGTGACTCGCCGAGTTCCTTTGATTCTCGTTCAAACTTTAAGGCCGCATGTCGACTTCCCTCCTTGCAACTCGACGGATACACACTCATACATATCCAAGGAAAAACTCATCCGACTCGCCGAGTTGTTCTTCAACTCATTGAGTCTTATGGCGATCTTCATCGGACTCGCCGAGTTGTTCATCAACTCGTCGAGTTCACGACCATCTTCATGTGACTCGTTGAGTCAACTTTTGTGACTCGCAAACTCCATTCAGTCATTTTATCATGCAAACCACTTTTAAGCCATGGCAAGGCCCCAAATTGTAGATCCAACCTCCTTAGGCCTGCTTATCACGTAAAGTTGCAAACTTTACATGCATGCAAGGCTCCAATGACTCAAAAAGCCCAAACTAAGCTTGAAATGGGGTTTTACACTTAAGGAGGGGCTCAAACTTGCCAAAGCCAAGAAATTTATGGTCCTTCAATCCATAGAGAGTTCATATCTAAAGTTACAACTTCAGATCTTGGCTCATACTCCAGGAAATGACTTTATAACCCAACCAAGAACCCTAATCTCCAACCCAAGGAGGTCTAGAACGAAATAGAAAGGAGGATAACAACTTGATACCTTCCCAAGAGATGACAATTGGAGTAGATCTGGATTTTCCCCAAGCTCCTTGCTTCAAACCACTTGCTTCCCAAGCTCTTTCCCACCAAAATCCTCTTCCAAGGCTTCAAACACACAATGGGCACACACACACATTTTAGGGTTTGTTAAGAGACTGCAAAGAGGCTGAAACACGTTTGTGTTCCCTTAAATAGGGTGCACAACCCTGGGATTTAAGGTTTCAACTGCTAACTCTTACTCGTCGAGTCCCAATATGAACTCGTCGAGTAGGTTACTTAACCCGCGATCCTTCCCACTGCAACTCGACGAGTAGATCAACCAAATCGTCGAGTAGGGTTTAACCCAAAAACTCATATTTAGACAATACCTGAGAATCGGGGCGTTACAATTAAGCAACTAATTTTAGTAGGCTAGTTTTACACTAGGATATGACTAATCACTAACTCTAACAATTTAATGATCAAAAATAGCTAGGTAAATCAATTTCATGCAATTAAGTACATTTTAACTACACGATCTTGATACAAGGAAATAAGGATAGAAACTTTAGTAGGCTAGTTTTATATTTATCAAACAATATTTAATGCTAAAACTAACTTTATCAATCCATCAAACAAAGAAATCGACACATAGTAATTAAGAGTTCCTCTAATCTAAATGAAAGCAAGGGTTTTTAGCCAATAACTACAGCTAAAAAACACATAAACAAAAGGGAAACCAAGCTAAACATCATTAGACTAAGCAAAAGTGAATGTATAGATGTGAATCCTTGCTCCAATCTCTTTATCCTTTCATATCTATTTGAATTCTGCCGCAAAGGGATTTAGAGGCCAAAGGGACTTTGAGTTGAATGATGTATACGAGTCTTGCATGTTGGCAAGACGGCTTAGTTACCATTCACATAGACATGTAATGATGAATATTGTTGGGTCTTATACACACTAATGTTTGTGGACCCATCAGATCCACCACAAGGGATGGCATATACTACTATATTTATTGATAGGTTCAATAGATATGGTTATTTTTATATTATTACGCTTAGTTATGACACTTTGAAAAGTTTCAAAGAATATCAAAACAAAGTAGGGAATCAAGATTGAGCATGAAAATAAAGGTTATTCCATCTAAAAGGAAAGGAGAATGTCTTAGTATCGAGTTAAACGGTCATCATAAAGATTCTGGAATGGTTTCCATAATTGACTTCTATACGAACATCATAATGTAATGTTGTTACTAAAAGGAGAATCAAACACTATGTAGTTTGATCTATGATGAATCGTGCTTTGTTACCATTCATGAATTTTCTGGAATACAAATTGAAAAGGTAAAGCATATTTTTGAACCTTGTATCTAACTAAGTAGGTTTAGATGACACCTCATGAAATATGGAGTTGGAAAGTTCCCTTGCATTCAAATATGGTGTTGTGACGTATTTCGAGAAACCAATGACCAACTTTAATCGAGATTTATGAAGTGTTACATTGTTGGGTATTCACTGAAGACTTTTGATATTTGTGTTTATAGCTCAAAAGGAATGTTCCTTAAGAGAATAAGCATATATATATATATGTGTGTGTGTGTGTGTGTGTGTGTGTTCATTCTCTCTATATATATATAGAAGTCAGTGGGAGTCATTGAACTTGAAGAAATTCGAGATATGACTGACAATGAACCTATAGTTGACACTAGTTATCAACCTGGGGTTGATAAACCAGTTGAGTCAAATGACATTACCTTACCTCTTCGCAAAATATAACAGTGTTAGAGCACCTCCCAAGTTTTATAATTTTCATCTAACTGTGCAAGGAGATTCATTGATTAGTGATAAAAACATTGATCAATTTGGATAAGTCTAATAACTACTAGGAAGCAATGGTGGGCCCCATGGCTATCATTAGAAGAGTCTAAGGATAGCGAAATTTTTTCCATGAAGGATAACTAATTTTGAAATTAGTTGATCCAAGGCATAGTCTAATGACAATGGGTTATGCTTAGATCTTCAATGTAAAGACTTTAACATGGATAGGAATGTACACACATTCAAAGTTAGTATGGTAGAAATGGGTTGCGCCTAGAACTCAAGAAATTGATTGTGAGGAAACATTCTCACCAGTAGCTAAGAAAGATCAATTTGGTTATTTGCCACGATTGTTGCCATTCTTTGATATAAGATATGATAAATTGGATGTTTAAACAATTTTCCTCAAAAGGAAACCTTTAAAGAATATAATACATATTTGAAAGGATTTAAACATACAAAGTATCCAAATAAGGTGTGTATGATTAAGAAATCTATTTATAGATTTAGACAAGCATCGCGTAACAGGAATCTATTCTTCCATGACAAAGTCAAACAGTGTTGTCTTTCTAGAAGTATATATCAGTCTTGAGTACATGTCAAAGCTAGTGGGAGTGTTGTTGTCTGTGACATCCCTCTTTTCACGGCCAGAAAAGACCGATTTTGTTTATGCTTTATAAAAATCAGAGTAACTCTTTTAATAAAAATGTTGCGGAATTTGTTCATAGTAAAACATGATAAATACATTATCAAGGCATTTCCAAAGAAAAGTATTTTTATTCATTTTAAAACACTTGGAATGTCATCGTCAATGCAGAAAAATAAGCATAAACAGAACTTACATTCATTATCACTAGTGATTTATATCTCCTTAATCTCGCAGTGTAATGTGACTTCATATTAGTACCTGTGATATTAATAAATTAAGTGGGTCAGGTTGGGAAATCTGGTGAGTACATATGGTTTTCAACCCACAATAATATAATTATTATGTTTAATCATCAAACACTTAACCCAATTAGCCATCCCCATTATCTTCTTTACTCTTAAGGATCTACCGTAAGAATCAACTATTTCTCATTCATTCATTCCTAAGGATTATCCTAAGGAATAAGTATGAAGTCCATCATTATCAATGACACAACTATCAAATATAGCTGCTAGTTCTATCACTTAGGTGCAACTACTAGAATTGTGACATACTATGTAAGGCGCAACTGCCAATATTATCCTTCGAGCACAACTGCTAGGGTTATCTCGTTTATTGACAGTATCATTTTCGAGAGTCCACTCGCAATACATGTCAATGGGTTTTAGAGTACATCGGTGAATACATCGTTCACAACACCTACAGGTTGCGAGTCTGCTAGTGTTCCATTGGACTGTCTAGAATAGTCTGTGGTTGTCATCCATACTCTACTAGATGACGGGGCCAACATTTGGGAATAAGGCTTCTCACATCATCCACCTCTCACCCTTACCTCATGGTTTATATCACCTCTCAACTTATCATCCAACTCATATTTCATCTACCCATGTTTTACCCAACATATTACGTAGATATAAATACATATATAGTTTAAATCATATAAAACTTGTATAAAATCGTTCATCCAGCATAGATAGCAAGTATACAGATAATATGCATACATAACATGTATTTTATATAAAATAGTTTATATCTATGTGTAATATGAAAGAGACCATGCACTCACTTGAAAAGGTGGTGATTCCGAACTCAGACAGCGCTTCGCTTCTTAAAAATAATTTCCTTCGACGAAACCTAGTATTATTACAACTAGAGTTTAGTCTATTATTCGCAAAGACTAATTAATAGTCTAGCTATTATTACTATTATAAAAACAGTAAACAATACTTATATAACCCATATTAATAGCCCAAGTACTTATTTTAAGTTCCTAATAACGTTACTATAATTAAATAAAAGCTA